GCGCCTCCTCGACGCTACCGTCCGCCCGCCCATCCATCCGTACATCCTTTCATGCGTTTGTCCGCTTGCGGGTTCCTCCACCCGCCCTGGTGTCCGCTGACTCGGCAGGCTCTGACGGGGCGCCTCCTGTGTGCCAGGCTGCTAGCAGAGGAGTCAGAGAGGCGCTGATGGGCTCTTCCCTCCCACTTCACGGGCCCAGAGCTCGCTCTTGAGTCCGGGCTCAGCCTTCCTTCTTGGCTTCCCCAGTCTAGGTTAGATTCTTTACCTGTCACTCTCAGAGCACTTTCGCCTCTCTCCCTTGTAGTTCTTACCGCGATTAAATCAGGTAATTTTGTGCGCTTTTTAACACCTGATTCCTACTATTTTTAAGTTCCGTGGTGTGAGTCTTTGATCAGCGCCTAGCACAGTGCCTGCCCGAAGTAGGCACTCAATAAACGTTGTTATTGGTAATGTGCAAAAACACAAGCTCTCTTAGAAAGGGCTCTGGTTGGGGAGGCGGATGTGAAAGGGCAGGTCAGCAGAGTACACATCGAAGCGTATGGACTCTGGAATCAGACCATTTGGTTTCAAAACAGTCCAAACTACATCACTTAGAATCTATGTGACCTGAGACAAATTGCATAACTTCTCTGTTTCTCTTCTGTAAAACAGAAGAATCTAGACTAGGCCGTAGACTGCTGTGAAGGTGAAATGATTGAAGACACTTGTTTTAAGTGCTTGACTTAACTGGTAGACACTGCTTGACTCTATAATAAAAGCTCAATTAGTGTCTTCTGTTACAATTAAGTAAGCAGACAATGCCCATACATTATACTGCAGCCAGCAGGATTGTCCAGAAGTGCCCTGGAGGTTCTTGGGTTGCTTGAACTAAGAGGTGACTGGGACCAGAATCTCATCTCCCAGGCTTCCAGTTCCCTACCTGTGTTCCCTAGGCAGCTCCATAAACAACTGGCACTTAAATCCACACTTCTGGTCCAAAGCAGTTGACTTACGCCCCCCATTGACAAGGCTGCTTTCTCTCATTTACACTATAAGAAGATAAAAGGAGCTCTCCCCTGAAATACCAGTGCCTCTCTCCAGAATTCCCTTCTGTGGGATGTTGGAAGGATAGGGAACCTATGCTCCTTTTCCTCACCCCTGGCTGGTAAGTTTCCCCAGTAAACTTACCGTATAGTATAACTAATGTCTTCTGACATGAAATTTACCTTTTCCTTGCCCCGTGTCTACTGTCTGTTGAGTACCTACTCTGGGCCAAGTGTTTTAAAATGTTAAGTTTCTTATTCAGGTATGGTGAGGCCAACAGGTCAGGAGATGATTGCCATTGAAAAGGTAGTTTGTTACAGTTCCCAGGAGGGCAGGGCATGCCATGTCCCACAGAGCCACGTGGTGAAGCACCAAGGTCAGTCAGGAGGCAAAGTGAGGGGAAAGTGGGCAGGAAGGTGGTTTATGGTGGTTTCTGTGGGAAGAAACAGGTGAGGCAAAGTAAACAGATTTAGGATGAGCTGGTTTGAATAATTTCAGTGAGCTCTGAGGCATAGGGATTGTCCCTAATTGTCTGGCACCTGGCCTAGGGAGTGGTTAGGGCAGGGCCAGGATTACCCTGGCTGTGAAAGCCCCTTACAGGAGGTGAGGGGCAGCGGGGTGGGGTGGGGCAGTTCTGGATTGGTTGGTCTGCATGTGAAAGACATGCTTGCAGGCTACTTTACTGTTTCTTAGATTCTGCTAACCCTGGGAAGGGCTGTCCTTCCAGTATCAGCAAGGCCCCAGATGTCAAAGCATCAGAATAAAAAGACATGCTTAATACACCAGGCACTACTCTAGGTATTTAATGTTATTTCCAGTTCCTATAAGAACACTGCAATGAAAGCATTTATAACTCCATTTTTAGGAGAGGAAATAGAATCTCAGAAAGTTTCAGTGGTCATACAGCTAGTAAGAGGCTACCCTATGATTCCAAATTGTTGGGTTGCTGGACTCCAAGACTGGTGCTCTTCTTGTGAGCTGTTACCTCCCTGCAGTATGAGAAACGGGGACATTTTTCAGACTTGATTAGGCATTTGGCGATGTTGACCACTGCCTGTTTGAAACTCTCCTTTCTTGACTGTAGCGACACTCATTCTTTGGATTCTCATACTTCGGATTGGGTGATGGAGAGAAAGTGGTGAGCCAGAACGTTGATGCAGCTTACAGTCTAATCGTGGAGAAGACAGGTGTTAACCCAGGAGTCCCACGACAGCATGTATACTGACAAAGTGAGAGATGTGCTCTGAGAGGGAAGGAGTGCATTTCTCATGATTCCTTGGCTGGCGCAGGGTTCTCAACCCTGCCTGCACAGCAGAATCACTTGTGGAATATTTTACAAGTATATAACGCCACCCAGGAGGTTCTGACTCAGGCTGGGGTGCCGCCCAGGCATCTGTAAGATGAGATGAGCACAATCAAAGAGAGCCTCTCCGTGTCTAAAGGATTTTCTTCCTGTTTTTGCTTTTGCTTTATTAAAACTGGTTGGAGGAACAAGATGAGATTTGCCATTTGGAAAGGTCACTGTGGTTACACTGTGAATAGACTGTGGATTACTGTGCAGTGTGACAGAAAGGGTAGTTGCTGGAATGCAGATGGCTGTGGCAGAGATGGGGAAGGGCAGATTCTAGAGAGAGGAAATCGAGTCAGTAGGACTTAATTTGCAATAAATACAGGAAAGAGGCGTTAGGGATGCTTCCAGGTTTCTGGCAGTGCAGGGGATGGTGGTTCCTACTTCCTGGGAGGGGACCACTGGGAGGAGAGCAGGTTGGGATGGCAGGAATCATCAAGTGGTCATGGTTGTGCTGAGTTGGAGGTCTTTTTGAGAAATTCAAGAGGAGTTGTGATGGAAGTGAGTCACAATGGGTAAACTAGGCTGGAGCTCAGATGGGAGGTCCAGACTAGCGATGGCTGGTAACGCAAGGTAAGGATGAGATTGCCTGGGAGGGAGTGAGAACACTGGTGGACTTAAGGCTGACCTCTCGAACTCTGATGTAGAGGAGGGTGGACTTGTGAAGGAGATGGAGAAGGAACAGCGACAGTCCTTCGTAATGAGAAACTTCCCTTCAGCCACCCATGGAGAACAAGTTGCTGAGGCACAATATTTATAATAAAAATTAAATCCTATCACAAACATTTTGAAAATAAAGGCAAGATACAAGACACTGACCAGTGACCATTAAGTAAAGAGCACACATCAGTACGATACAGCCTTTGGTAAATGCTGCATACACGATGCACAGGTCTGACGATGTATTGTCGTGGGATTTCTTAAATGTAATTTGTCATAATAATTAAGGAGATGAGTTTAGCACTTTTCAAATATTGCAAAATAAAGAAGAAAAGTACCGCCAGGTTTCTCTGTGTTTAGGTCTGTCCTCTCTCACTGTTCCTTAGCTCGGCCCCAGGCTCTGGCTCAGGGTTTTTACCCCTGGCTGCACATCAGAAGCATTTGTGGCACTTACTGAAACTCCAGCCATGGAGATTCTGATTCAGTAAGTCTGTCCTGAGGTCCAGGCTCGGTAGCTGATTCTGAGCCATGGCAAGGTGACAGTCTGGCCTCTCTGAATCACCTGCAGTTTCCTCGGTTGGCCACATCCTCTCATTCCCACTGTCCTTGCCTGAATGACCTGCTTCTGCATCTTCACGCGCCTCACTCATATCAGACTCCGCTGAGATGTTTCCTCCCAGGCAGGCAGCTCCCCCGGGTCTTGGTGTCTTTCCTTGTACTACTTCGCTTTGCTCCATCCTTGGATTTGTTGCGCTGTGTTTGCCTGTTTGCCTGTCACTTTCCCATACTAAACCAGGAGTCCTTTAAAGACAGACATTTTAATCCTGAGAGTTTGTTCAGGATAATGCGGAGCACATAGCTCAAGTATTTGCTGAGATAATGGGTGAAGGAATCCATTTCTCTCTCCTTTGTGCTGTCTTACAACTTTGTGACTTAAAGTCAAGAATAATTCTTCCTTGTTTGTACCTTCATCCTGGCCGTTCTCCAGGACCTTTTCCTAACGTTTTCACATCATTCTTAATTTATAGTATCAATCAAGATTGTCCTGGGCATTAACCCATTCTGTAATTTTTATAAAAAGCAAGTACTTTAGAGTTGGGCTATCCTAGCCTTGACTTTGCTGTATACCAGTTTGGGATGTTGGGCAAATTACTTAACTTTCAAGAACCTCGGTTTCCTCATCTGTAAAATGGGGGTGATAATACACACCTATTAGTGTTACTTACAAACCCCAATAAAATTGTATTTGTAAAGAGCCTGGCCCGTGATAGATGTTTCCTGAGTGCAAATTCCCTTCCTTGGGGAGACCCTGTGGCTTAATTGAAAGAACTAAACACTCTGGTTCAGAGTACAGCTCTGCTTCTTACTGGCTCCCCTCATGATTCTCAGTAGCCTCGTTTGGAAAATGGGCATAATTATGACTGTCCTAATAGAATTATTAGGGAAATTATAGAAAATTTATGTTAAGTATCTAGCTAGTGCTTGGCATCTGGTAGGTGCTCAGTAAAACGGAGCTTATTCTGAGAAGTAGTAATATACTGGAGTGTTTTCCCTGCTTCCCATGATCTTTCAGCACTATTTATCATCCCTGATGTTGTCCCTCACATTGTTACCAGAGGTTGAATTGTTTTCAGTGATACTTAAATTTTCTATTTCACATCCTGAGAAACTCCTGAATCACCTATAAATGTATCATTTATACGGAAGCTCCCTTTTGGGCAGTTTTCTTTACAGTGCTTCACTCCATGGCAGCTGGTCTTTAAACACCTGAGTTTATATTCTAAGCACATTTTCTTCCCTGTGTAACATCAGCATTTTCCACCTCAGGAGCTCCCTGGAGAGCTGGAATTCAGAAAGGTCTCAGACGCAGACCTCCATCCCATCCCCTCCCTGCTCGACTGGGCAGCCTCTTCAGACCATCTCTGTGCAGAATGGCAGGAAAGTCTGCAGCCTTGACCTACCATGCTCCAAAAGAACAAGAAGGACTCATAATTGTGAAGGTTGAAGAAGAAAATTATGTTTGGGGGCAGCACTTTAGCCTTCAGGGAAAGGCCTGTAGCCGGGAGGCCTTCCGCCAGCAGTTCAGACAGTTCGGTTACTCTGACTGCGTGGGGCCCCGGGAGGCCCTGAGCCGGCTCCGCGAGCTGTGCTGTCAGTGGCTGAGGCCGGAGGTGCACACCAAGGAGCAGATTCTGGAGCTGCTGGTGCTGGAGCAGTTCCTGGCCATGCTGCCTGAGGAGCTGCAGGCCTGGTTTCAGGAGAACCGGCCAGAGAGTGGAGAGGAAGCCGTGGCGATGCTGGAGGAGCTGGAGAAAGAGCTTGATGAGCCACGGCAACAGGTAAGCAGATGTTTTCTTTCCAGTGGGGGGAATGGTTAGGTAATCAGATCTGTTTATTTAATTATTTGTTTAATGGCAGTACTGGGGATTGAACCCAGGACCTTGTGTGTGCTGGGCACGTACTTTACCACTTGAGCTACACCCTCCCTCCGTAAGCAAGTGTTTTCTGTTTGCTTGTTTTACCAATTGCAAGTTGCTGGGGAAGCCGTTCTGAGTGGCCTTGACTCGGCTGCCAGAGAATCGTAACATTTTTGTCTTTCAGGTTATTATTTGTCCACTGGGATTGAGTCAGTAGGGCTTTTTAGTTTCTTGTTTTCTGTCTAATCATCCAAATGAGTTTCTGACTCTGGCTGCCCTGCCCTGTTATTCTAGGGGTTTTCCTCTTGTCTGTTCTCAGAATCATAGTGTTGGTGCTTGATTACTCCTAGGACACGGCTCACGGCCAAGGAACGATCTGGAAGGAAATGACATCTGTGGGAGTGCTGGAGTCACTGAGTATCCAGCTCCAGCCCTTGGAGAACCAGTGTAAGAGTAAGACGCAGGAAGCCCAGGCTTTCTATGAGCGAGGTGAGGAGCCACAGTCCGTTTGGGGTTGAGAACGGAGGGGAGGGCTTAAATCCATGGCGTGGTTCATTTTCTTGACGAGTACACTTGTGGCTTTCATTAGTCTGGTGGAAAGGCCCCCTTGCCTAGAAATATTCTTCCATTGACTCTGCCTAGAATCTACAATTCCAATATAATATCTGATTTGGGGGTTAAGAATTAAGGTCTCTAATAAAATTCTCCAATAATACCCATAATATTCAAAGACCAGTTTTCTGGTTTTTTAATCTTATGGTCCTACTGGCAAGGTAGTCCCTCAGATGGAGATGAATAATGTATCAGAAAGCACATAGTAGCTTGAACAGGGAAAGTTTAATATTAAGAATTATTAACTGTGACAGGGGATTAATTATTGATTGAAAACAATCCTAAAGTATACAGAAATAACACACATAAGGAGTCTCTGGGGTCGAGGCCAAGCGTCCAAGGGAGGAACAGATCTGCAGGAGGGTGCCGCATCCTCCCCTCCCCTGTCAGAGCTGAGACCCAGGGCTTGTTGAAGAGAAACAGCTGGATGGACATGTTCGCCGAAGCGCTGTGCTGGCCAACTTGCTGGGAAACTGTCTTTGGGGTACAGAGAGAAGCCATTCACGGATACAAGGGAAGGGCGTGTGTGTGCTGGGGAGCAGAACTTACCCTCTGGGGTGACAGGAGGTCCCCCGTTGCAGAGGTACCATGACTCAGAACTTGCTGGAAACTTTCGGGGATGGTGCCCCTGAAACTAACCGGAGGTGAGCACTGCTGAGTGCTCACCATGCTGCCGGGACAAAAGCACACCAGAACCAGAAAGAAAAGCCCCTTCCTCCTCCAGTGTCTGTCTGGCGCCCCTGCTGGTAAAGCTCACATCATGCCTGCTGGCCAGGGAGAAATGTTCCAGTATCACAGGCAGGGCACTGAAGGGTGGATGTGAGCTTGACCAAAAGGGCTTTGATGCTGTTACTGGCCAAATCATTCCTATGGGCAGCAGATACATCAGGCTTATTAACTTGTTCTCATTAAACTTTTGTTACACCCAGCTACCCTTCTGATTTTATCTTTACCAAGCAATCTTATTAAATTCCCATGATGCTTAGCTATAATAAGAAAATGCATTAGTCTAGTCTGGTCTGTGTGATGGTTACATAACTCATTAATTGTTATTATGGTTTCATTGTTCAGTTTCACGAGCTTGGCTAATGGGAGTTAACCCCCAGAGGTAAATCTGTTCATTGTATGATGATAAAGTTAGGTTTACGAGGCCACAAGGTCAAGGGCCAGACCTCGGACCTTGGCAATTCAGCAAGGGAATCCATGCATCTATATACCGAGGCCGAGACGCCTTCCCGGCCTTCCCTGACACGTCATTAAAGTGAGCCCACTTAATATCTTCTGCACCGAGCAAGAACTACATTAAAGTGGATTTAAAAAAATCATCTCCTGAAGTCCCCTGCCTTGAAGTAGGTAAATGTCTAAGTCAGTTAGGGTAGCATATTTCTATTTCTTTCTTTTAAGGTCTTGAATAACAGAGACTGCTATAATTTTTTCAAGTCTTTCTTGGGCTTTTCATATTGATATTTATTATGGGCTGAATTATGTCCCCCCACCACAATTTTTTTTTGGGGGGGATCTTGGTTAGGTTTACTTATTTATTTATTCTTATTGGAGGTACTGGGGATTGAACCCAGGACCTTGTGTATGCTAAGCATGCGCTCTACCACCTGAGCTATACTCTGCCCCTGCCCCAAACTTCTGTGTTAAAGCCCTAGCCTCCAGTACCTCAGAATGTGACTGTATTTGAGATTGGGCCTTTAAAGAGGTAAATAAGTTAAAACAGGATTGTTAGGGTGAGCCCTCATCCAGTACGGTTGGTGTCCTTATAAGAAGAGGAGATCGGGACCTAAACAACACAAACTGAGGGACAGCTGTATTAGGATACAGGGGGAAGGTGGCCATCTGCAAGCCAAGGAGAGACAGGCCTCAGACGAAACCAGACCTGCCAACGCTTTGATCTTGGACTTCCAGCCTCCAGAACTGTGAGAAAATAAATTTCTGTTGCTTAAGCCATCCAGTGTTTGGTATTTTGTTATGGCAGGCAGACCAGCAAATTAATATGGTATTAAGCTACTGCTCTGTGTCCATATGAACTACTTCCAGCTTTAATTTCGTTCCATTTTATTTTATTTGTTTAGCAGAGTCCTCACAAAACAACCTCTGCTTGAGGGTAGTGAGTACCCTGCCCTTTGACTTTGTTCTCACTGATGGTTGCACTGCCTCTGATTCCGTCTGTGTTCCATCTCTCTGATCTTCGTAGCTCATTTCTCTGGACATGCTTCAGCGTCTCCATGTTCATTTGAAGTACGGGGATCAAAAAATAAAAGCACTCCAATGAGGATCTGATTAGTTTAAAATGTAGAGTAGATTCATCCCCTGGCTCTTGTTGCACTCTATATCTTTTTATTTGTTTGCCCCTTCACAGTGGCATTAGGTTGTTGACTCAGTGAGCTTATCACCGCAGTGATTATATCTTTCAGCCTTCCTGGGCCTTAGCAAAATTTCCTCATCTTACATTTATGGCTGATCCCTAAGTAGATGGCTTTGAATGGCCTTGACTGGGCTCCTGATAAATCTCATTATGCTGATATCCCTTTAGTCTTGAGGGTCTTAGCTCCGCCTCTGAAGAATTAGTGTGGATCATTTCACATCTTTCTCCTAGGTCCTAATGTTTAAATCATTGGAGGGATCCACCGTGATGGGACTGTAAGAGTCACCATGTCATTTTTACAACCTTACACCTTTGGTTATATAATATATAATATATAATTTCCTGTAGGTTCTTCACTAGCCTAACAGTATGTCTTGCTGGAAGAGCCTGAGATGGAGATTTGAGTGCAGGTGATTTACTGAGGGCATGCTCTTCAGGAGAAATCTGTGATGGAGTGAGAGAGGTAGGGTTAGGAGGGGAAAAGATCAAGCAGTGATGTGGTCCTGGGTAAAACCTGGCCTTGGCTTAATCCATGAGGTGGGGTTTTTGGGGGGATCCCCTAGAGCATAACTGGACTACTGAGTTGTCTCTTCTTGAGGCAGGGACTGGGGGGGCCGGTGAGGATGGAGGTAATTTCCTAGGCCAGGCAGCTTTCATCAGCCAGGGCAACTCTCCAGAGAAGGGGGCAGCTGCAGGTCGTTAGGAGCCAGCGCTCACAGCAGCTGGGGGAAGGAGGCACCATGCTGTAACGGGGATGCGGGGGCAGTGGAGCATCATCTACACAGCATTAAGGCTAGAAGCATACTTGTCAATGAGCAGCTAAAGTCCATGACCCTAGTTAAAAGGGTTTTAGGCCATACAGGTCACTGAACAGGTAGGGAAATAGTCGGGGGAGGGGATTGTCATAGAAAAGAACTCTTCTACAGAGAAACCCATGGCTTATTTCTCCTCCAAAGTGCATCTATAATCTGTACCTATAATCTGAAGATATTAGATTACTTGAGTTATTTCTGTACCAGAATTTCTAAATATTCAAGTAATCATTTCTTACTCTACTTTTAATCTCCCTTTGTCATTTCCAGGAATTACTCCAGTTAACTGTTGATCCTAATATTTTTGTATTAATGTAAATATATAATTGAAAGAATAAAAAATTTTTTGTTACTATTTTTTTAAATTGAAGTATAGTCAGTTACAATGTGTCAATTTCTGGTGTACAGCACAATGTCCCAGTCATGTGTGTATACACACACACACACACACACACACACATATGTTTTCATATTCTTTTTCATTAAATGTTGTTACAAGATACTGAACATAGTTCCCTGTGCTATACAGAAGAAACTTTTTTATATCTATTTTTATATATAGTGGCTAAAATTTGTATATCTCATACTCCCAAATTTATTCCTTTCAACCCTCTTTCCCCTGTAACCATAAGATTGTTTACTGTGTCTGCGAGTCTGTTTCTGTTTTGTAGATGAGTTTAGGGTGTTCTTTTTTTCTTTTTTAGATTCCACATATGAGTGATATCTTATGGTATTTTTCTTTCTGAAAGAATAGGAATCTTAATGTTTTCCTAATCAATTCATCTAAGATCACGGTTTTCTCTGATCTCATAATTTGACTTCATGTAGTTACAGACTTTGAAGAGGTATTTTAAATCCTATAAATTACATTGCTGTTCTGATTTCCACAGCCCTAATTTTGTCCCTGCATGATTTTATTACCACTTTATACCATTTACAATTTATACTCTTTATATGTTGACCTATTTACTACTTTCAGAAAATTTCTCATTAGTGGTGAAGTCGGAGACTTCATTAGTGGTGCTTATGATTCTTCTACCTGTATTATGTATTATGTATTATGTTTTGGTTCATAAATTGTCCCCTTTGAACGAGCACAGCCTGGAAACTTGAACTTCTATCTAAGACCCAGGAACAGTGTGAACGTTAGTGTTCTGTCCTAAGAGGTGGTGCTGTCCATCTGGGATTTCTGGTAGGGAGTGAGGACAAGGGAAGCTGGCTAGCCCTCTCCTTTGGTCAAGTAATCATTGTGAGACTTTATTGTGTGTTTGAAGTGTTGTGAGCTCTAAGAATATCAGAAAGAAGTAGTTCTTTTCATATAAAAACTAACTTTTCCAAAGCTAAATAAAAAGGGTTTTTAAATTATTTTTTGTCTCAGTGCAACTACAGCCCTGCTTCCTTCCAGCAGGGAAGGCAGATGACCTAGAGGGAAACTGCAAGCCTTGATGTTCAGCATCTCTGCTTGAATCCTGACTCTACCAGTGATTAATTCTGTGGCCTTATGCAGCCTCTCTGAGCCTCAGTTTCCTGATCTGTAAAATGCATTAAAGTTTAGAGGACTTTGGGGAGGATGGAAGTAACTTTTGCAGTTTCACAGCTTTTCTCCACTCAAAATAATTCATTATCTCGGCCATTATCTAGTAGTTTCCTGTTCTAAGTTACTAGAAATCTAGAAATGAGAGGGGCAAGTTGTATGAGAGCTGAAGGTTTGTCACCAGCCAGTCACATCTGCCTCTTGTTTCCATCCATTTTCTTTGACCATTTATACATAAAAAAGAGCATATAAGACTCCCACCTGACCCCAGATGAGCCAGGAACTCACAGCATTCCTTTTCTTGCACTCTGCATGTCTTATTCTATTGGCTTATAATCATTTGATCAACTTAGAACCTGCCAGAATCTGTGATTACCTTTGCACCACTTATCTCTGTCCAGTTCTAACCCCTAGAGCATTTTCTAATTGTATCTTCTGCTCTCCTGTTTTTCTAGAAGCACTACCAAGTCAAAACTCTTAGACACTTTTTTTTTTTTAGTGGAGGTGCTGGTGATTGAACCCAGGACCTACTGCACGTTAAGCACACAGCTCTACCGTTGAGCTATATCCCTACTCCCATCTTTCTTTATTCTAATTACTCCTTAATGCCTCTTCCTTTCCCCTCATTATCTAAAACCTCATCTTCTCCTCTAACCCAAGATTATCTCCTGGCTAACTGGTCTCTCACTGCTACCCCTGTTGATCACCATCGCCCTTAACTAATGCCTTTCCGTGTTCACCATCCCCCCTTTCCAATGCTGACTCTCATTGTGTTTGAATTACTCTTGAGGTGCCGCCTGTCGCTGCTTCAGGCCACTTCTCTAAATTCTAGACAGGGAAGCTAGTTTTTTAAGACTTTTCCTCCTACTAGGTAAATAGCTATTTCATTTGGTTTCTTTTCTATTCCTGCTCTACTTGGTTCTTTTCTTCCAATGAGGGGAGCAAATGATACTTGCATTTTCTATTCGCATTTTTAGATGGCAAGCTGGTGGCAGACAGAGTATTGACAGCAAAGCAAGAAAGTATTGAATGTGAATGTGTGGCCTCGGCAGCCATGAGAGCCCCAGGGAGACTCCCTGGAGAAGGTCCTTCAGGACAGGTAGTTGAAGAGGCTTTGGGAGGTCTGGACAACTTTGAGAAGCCAAGAGGAAGTGCTGTGGGGAATAGAATGAGTCGGCGTCCTTCTCAGGGAAGACATTTCAGTCTGGCAAGCTTCAACAAGAAGGTCTCCACAGAAGAGCCACTGCAAGGTAATGAAAGTGAAGGGGGTCTCAGTCTGAACTCAAACGTTGTAACGCAACCGAGAATTCATACGGCGGGAAAGCTCTATGAGTGCTTTGACTGTGGGAAAGCCTTTTGCCAGAGCTCCAAGCTGATTAGACATCAGAGAATTCATACTGGAGAGAGACCTTACGCCTGTAAAGAATGCGACAAAGCCTTTAGTCTGAGCTCGGACCTCGTTAGACATCAGAGGATTCACAGTGGTGAAAAACCCTATGAGTGTTGTGAATGTGGAAGAGCTTTCAGGGGCAGCTCAGAGCTCATCAGGCATCGCAGAATTCACACTGGAGAGAAACCTTATGAATGTGGCGAATGTGGGAGAGCCTTCAGCCGGAGCTCAGCCCTTATTCAGCATAGGAAAATTCACACTGGAGACAAAGGCTATGAATGTATCGAATGTGGTAAGGCTTTTGGTAGAAGCTCTATCCTTATTGAACATCAAAGAATTCACACTGGAGAGAAACCTTATGAATGTAATGAATGTGGGAAGTCCTTCAATCAGAGCTCTGCCCTCACCCAGCACCAGAGAATCCACACTGGGGAAAAGCCTTATGAATGTAGTGAATGTGGGAAAACATTTAGGCATAGATCAGGACTGATGCAGCATCAGAGAACTCACACCAGAGTTTAACTCTGTGGATAATTGTTGTACAATTGTGAAATTCTAGGAATTCACTTCATGGGTGAGATTCCACAGAAGATGGAGGTTTCCTGAGAGCAGAATTCCTGTCCTTCCACTGCAGTTAAGTATTGTAGATCCACACAAAGATGCCTATTGAAGTGTTGCGATTCACAGTGAATCCAGGATTGCGGACAAGATCCTGCCTTGTCTGATGGTCTAAGAGGGGATGCCTCCGGTGGCAAGGAGCCCGTCCTGTGCCTTTGGCAGGTGGAGGCACGTGCTGGGAGTTATTCTGTTCTCTGAAATGTTGACTCGTGAGGTTGTGAAGTGTTGAATGATGCCCTGGATCAGTTTAGTAGTATCTGGGGAATGGTAGCTCATTCCACTGCCTTGCTCTTTCTCTCCTCCGCCCTGAGCTTCCTGCTGAGGTCAGCTGAGGTCTACTTATTTACTTAGCGTGTGCTGCGTGCCCACCATTGAGGCAGGCCTGGCTGCTGCCGTCCCAGAGTTAAGTGATTGCAGTGAAATGTGATCAGTGCTTTGGTAGGATAAATCCAGGATTCTGTTGACATGCATGGCAGGGGTATCTAACCTGGTCCATGAGTCACTAAAGGCTTCCTGAATGAGATGAAATCTCAGTTGAGACATAAAAGGTGGGTAGAAGTTGGCGGATCAAGGCAAGAAGGAAGAGAAGACTGTTCCAGGTGGAGGTTAGAGCACATGCAGTGACATGAGGAGAGGATCTGGAGATGTCCCTTCACCTGGATTCTTCTCTCGCCAGAATTTGTTCTCGTAGCCCCTGGTCCAGAAACCAGGACAAGTGTTGGTTCCTCTCTTTCTGTGTCACTGAGCTGGGTAGCCTGTCTCAGACCCAGAGTGACCTGAGAGTCCTGGAAGTACTCAGGGGAATTAGTGTAATGGAAGGCTGCTGTGTTGTATGGAAAAAGGCATGTTTGTCCACTAAGGAAAGATTACATGTTGGAGGCTAGAGGGACAGTGGGGACTGGAGTGTTTGTGTCCCATGGCCCTGGAGCCCAGGAACTGGGAAGCTGACAGGAACACAGGGATGGGAGGTCTGCCTTCTGAGGCTCCACTATTCCTCACTCCGTGTTCCCTCCCCTTGTCACCAGGCTCACAGATGCTAAGCTACCTGAAGTCAATGAATATTTGCTGAATTATCCCCTCAGCTTCCTCAAAACCCTGCTTCTCTGCTAATTCTTATTTTGGCAGTTTTAATTAACCCACAGTTAACTGCTGAGGGCAGTTAATACCGAAGAGAAAGTCTGAGTCATCTTCTAAGATGTGCTGATTTCCTGTCCTGATACTGTCACTCGTGAAGAAGTGGTGGTCAAGACGCTGTTGTGGGTGACAGAGGCGGCGCAACTGGGGGACAGCCTTTGTGTCCAAAGGTTATGGGATGTTTATGGAGCGAGGTCAATCAGCAGTTTAAAAAGATCCTTCAAAGGGACAGAGTTGCCTTTCCTATAGGTGGCAATCAAATGAGTTCATGTTTTTAATATCATTTAATAGTTTTTTTCCTGATTGTGAATTAACTGTAAATGTTGACAGTACAGAAAATGAGACAGTATAAATCGCCCATGATCCCGCCATCCGTAGAAACATTGTGGACATTTTTGGAGTACTTCTATTAGCTTCTCCCCCCAGTCCTAATATTTTTTGGGGTAGAAATCTTATTTGGTAAATAATTGCTAGTAACTGATTTTAACCTTTATACTTTTGAATATATATTTCAATTGTTTAGTATTAGAATGTAATGCAAAATGTCTTATAATAAAATTTAAGTTTTAAGTTTTGCATTGAAATTATTCATTCAGGAATAGGGAGCACACAAACACACTTGGAGAGGTGCTGGGGGTAGGGGGAGAGTTGTGGGAAGAAGCCAGCGAACTGGTGTTCTTAGCTTTTACTCCCTGGGCCAAAGCGTGTCTGGACATGACAGCTAAGTCCCTGAGGCTGCAGTTCACCAACTTCGTGAAATCACAGAATTGAGGGGACTTCTGGGGCTGCACTGTGGTTGGAAGAACGTGGGGATGAGATCAGGGAGCTTCTATAAACACACAGGCATTCTGTGTCCACCAGAATCAGGACGCTTTGCTTTGGGAGTTGAGAGAATGCCACGGCCTTCCCCTCCCCTCTCAGCAGCGCCTACAGAGAAACACAGGTGCAGAAAAAACCCATGACCCCTTAGAGCTGTGATCCTTTGCACCTGCCAACAAGACAGCTGTGAACAGTAATGTTACCAAGTAGCAAGGTCTGGTTCTGGCCCATCCGGAAGCAGGGGTTGGGTCTGCCTACTGGCTCACCCTTCCCCTCCCTTCGGCAGACACACTCTCCAGGTCAGTTCCTTCTGAATGGGGAAGGACGGGCCGTCCTTGCCCGGAGGGTTCACTTTGTGGGGCAGGAGCAGCAAAGCTGTTCCCAGGGGAGCTTGGGGAGACCAAGGGCAGACTTGTTTCAATGTCCAGTCCTTTGAGCTGGACAGTGTTCACTGTGGCCTGCGGAAGTGAGGAGGGAGGACGGGAAAGATAGCAAGCTGTTATTAAGCACTTTGCCTGAATTCCACCTCTTTTTAAGTCCGTGAATCTGGGCAGAACCCATTTAAGGTGAACACTGGACTGCTTCTGTACCAAAAGAAACAAGAGAGCTCTGAGCAGAGAAGCAAGGGATGGCTTACTTTTCCCGCAGCAAGGCTGGGAAGGAAAAACACAATGACCTTTGACATCTGCCTTATGTTGGCCCCCGTTTCATAAACGTAGAACGTTGAAGCTTTAACTGCAAAGAGATCATCTACTTCAGCTCCTCTCAACTGAGTTGTGAGGGGACTTGCTTGTGGCTGCAGAAGTCATAGAAAAGCACGAATGTGAACAAGTCTCCACTTCAAGGCTACTGCTTTTCTCATCTATAAATCTTCATGCAAACAGCTCACACATGTGCACAGATTTATAACTTGCAGGGTTTTTTTGTACACTAGTGATGGGTATTGTCATTTATCAGTGAGGAAGTCCCAGAGCAGTTACTGAGTTAGCTAACCTCCTAGGACACGGAAGCCACAAAGCTGCTATGGAAAGCACAAGCTTTTCTTACCTCTCAACTATCCTGGGTTTTCATTCTGTTTCTTTTTTCTAACTTTATAAGTTTTAGATATTTATGTAGGAAAATTTGGAAGACCAAAACACAAATGTAAGTCACATATAAACTTCTCACCCAGGCATAACCAGTATAGCATGTTGAGATGATATATTTCCAACATTTTTAATGCATAAATGTTTTTACATGAACCATATTGTATATGTCATTTTTATTTAAGCTATGAACGCATTGTCATTTTAATATTAATTAACATCACTTTCAACAGCTTTCAAGACTTTGTATACATTCGTGATGGTTTCTGAAGTATACATTTCCAGGTAGAATTTTAAAGTCAAAAGGCAATGCTTTAGGCTGCTGGTATTAATTGCCAGAGACAGCATCTATTCACATCAGAGTCCCAATTTCCCTGAATCTCTGTTGATTTTGTGAGGGGGGGGGAAACCTGACATCTCAACTCTTGCTTTAATATACATTTTTAATTCCACCAAGGCTAACATTTATCGTCCATTGGCATTTATTCTTTTGTGATCTGCCTTTGTAAGCACCCTTGTTTTCCTACTGGGACTTTTTCATGGGAAGATAGGACAGAGAAGTGGCTCCACAGACACGTTCTGGACTCCTGCTGCCAGGGTTCAAAGTCTGACCTTACTTACCTCTTTGTAGCTCTATGCCCTTGAGTAAGCCGTGGCCCTAAGCCTTCATTTCCTCATCTGCAAAATGTGGCTGCCTGAGAAGTAATACATATATACAAAGCCCTTTGCAAGTGCCTATTACTTATCAATATCTGTTAAGAACTCTATACTCTCTCTTTTGTAATAATCACTGTATCAATTCCTACTTAACCCTGTCCTGTCCTTTTCAGTTTGTTTGTCTTCCTCTGTGGAAGAGGAGTATGAGTTGAAGAGTTTTATCATGCTATTTCGTTACACTTCATGTCCCTTTCTTTTTTCATTCTCCTTCCAAGCATGGACATTTAGCCCTCCCGCCACGCTTACTGGCCAGTACAGGCTCATCTGTGTGCCCCAAGAGGGGCATGACCTATATCCTTATGAAAACTCTTCTGTTCCTATGCACAGGATTCTAGATTCCCAAAGATCCGTACTTCCGGTAAGGTGTGTTACAACTGTGATCTATTAGTTACTTTAAACAACAAATCTCTGTTGCTGACTAACCTCTACACCTTTCTGCTCTGCATTGAGAAGCACCAGTCTGGATACTTTTTTTGCTGGGTCCATCAGAAGAGGGCAGTCTCTGGAAGGACCACGACTGTCACTGTCACTTCCCTTCAGCATTGTCTTTAACAAAATTCACAAGACTGTGAAATTCTGCGGACATAACTCAAAACTGAACACGTGTGGTGCCTGGAAAGTAACAGACCAGCAGTGGACACATTTTTTAGCCCCTGAGCCCAGGGGAGTGCACCAGGAACTGTTGGGGCACAGCCCCAGAAACCAATACGGCAGCCACCGCAGCTTCTGACCCACAGCCCTGGGAGCTAGGAGGAAGCGGACAGCAGCTCTGATCAAGTCTTAAGAACCAAGGCAGTCCTTAAGTCTGGGAGAGAGATTTGGAGCTCTATGACTCTTAACCTCTAGCCTGGGCTTCTTCTGGCTCCCCTACCCCCACCCCGATGGAAGGTGGAGTCTAGCCTCCAGGTTGGACAAGGAAACGACACATTAACCCTTTCCCTGGGGTCACACAAACCAAGACAAAGCTGATCACCACCCTGTGTTCCAAGGTCTCCAGGTGTTGCCTATTAACAAGTCTCCACTGGCTCCTGTTTTACTTCAGGGCAGGGTAGTAAACAGAGATCTGGCTGCATCCACGCTTCCCTTACAGATAAAAATCCACTTCAGAAGGAACTCAACAGGGATGTTCCACGCAAAGCAGTCTTTTCCCTCTAGTTTCTCAGACATGCCATATTCTCCTCCTGGCCTGTTTACCTCCCTGGCTAACTCCTACCCATCCTTTAGATAATTTTTCTCAGAAGCCTCCCCTTACCCAAGGTTGGGTCAGGTACTCCTTAATGTCACGTGATCATACCAGTGTCACTGCCTGTTTGCTTTGTCCATTAAACTGTAAAGACTATCTTATATTCCACTGTGTCCCTAGTGCCTGGCATAGAGCAGCCACTCAAAAAGGAACAGTTGGGTAAACTAATCTGTACTCTTTCTTTTCGCTGTCTCACTTCTGGCTTGCCCTGGGCCCCACAAATCAGCAGGTGCAGTGAGAGCCTGGGCTGCTGTGCCCTCTTCATGACATTCTCATGGCAAATGAGGCCTCAGGGTTACATCCCCATCTTTCGTACCTCCTGAGTATCCCTGATGGTAAGAGGAAAGCTGGAAGCAATGATCCTTTCATCTGAGGTTCTGATTAGTCACAGGAAAGCCTTCAGGGGACAATGCACATCAGCACTGGGAAGTGCTGTACAAAGTCAGACTGACTCAAGATCTAGTACTTTACCATCACCTTCCTGAGTCTTACCCTAAAGTAAATTAAACCCTCTCGACTAACAAAAGTATTTACAGTACTCATTGCATTCACAAGTCACTTTACAGTGTGGACTCTCTGATGGCGCAGAAGGACTGATCTGTGTCTGAACGCCTTCCCGCAGTCGTTACATATATAAGCTTCATCCCCAGAATGGATTCTCTGGTGCTGGACCAGGGCTGAGCTCCTTTTGAAGGTTTTGCCACATTCATTACACTGGTAAGGTTCCTCTCCACTGTGAATTCTCTGATGTCTGATGAGGTTCGAGCTCAAACTGAAGGCTTTTCCGCACTCATTACACTCATAGGGTTTCTCTCCACTATGTATTCTCTGATGGGTTATCAGCTCTGAGCTCTGCCTGAAAGCTTTTCCACACTCGTTACATTCGTAAGGTCTTTCTCCTGTGTGAATTCGCTGGTGTCTGATAAGCTTTGAGCTTTGGCTAAAGGTTTTCCCACACTCATTACACTCGTAGGGCTTCTCACCGGTGTGGATTCTTTGATGTATAATGAGATAGGAACTTTGACTGAATGCTTTGCCACATTCGTTACATTTACAGGCTTTCTCCCCCGTGTGGATTTTCCGATGTCTGATGAGGGCTGAGCTCTGGTTGAAGGCCTTCCCACACTCACTACATTCATACGCTTTCTCGCCACTATGAATTCTCTGATGAATAATAAGGTATGACCTCAAACTAAAGGCCTTCCCGCACTGGTTACATTTATAGGGCTTTTCTCCAGTGTGGATTCTCTGATGCTGTGTCAGAGAGGAATGCTGCTTGAAGCTGTGCCCGCACACCTCACACCTGTGAGGTCTCTCTTCTGTAGGAACTTTCTGATACGTCATCGAGTTTGCACTCAGGATCAAGCTTCTCTGAGGCTCGTGATGGTCTCTGTTTCCTAGAGATTTGTGGGTGAAGATGACTTGACTAAAAGTGCCCCCTTGGGAAGGGGATCTTCTCAGTCTCTCCCCGGTGGCACTGGCTTGCTGCCACCCTAAACTGCTTTCGTGTTCACCGACTCCTCCAAATGCAGGTTCCTGGGAAAGTCTTTGCGATTTCTCTCCTGGAACGTGCTTCTTTGGCACGGATTCCTTAATCTCACAATCTGAAATGATAATAGCAAAAAACAATCTGTTATTTCTCCAGTCCCTCTCAATACTCACTTTCAGTGTGAGAGAAAGCGGATGCTTCTGTGCAGAGATACAGCCATCTGCATGTATCTTTTCACCTCCTCCTTTCTAATACGGAAGACTACATCTGCAGTTTGAAATGTGTCCTTTCCTGCCTCCTCTGAGACTTCGGCTGATCAGCTAATTACCTACTGTTCCTTTCCTAATATTTTCAACTTCTTTCCCTGCTGATTCCTCTTCCTCAACATTCAAATAAATTCAAATCTTTCCTATCTCTTCAAATCCAGCCCCTCGCCTGCACATCTCCCTCACGCAACCTCATGCCCA